TATTACAGAAACCCACAACCGCAGTGCTAACACAAATGTGAATGTATTTCCAAAATGCAAGCGAGTACTGCACTATAAAGTATTAAGGGATAAATCGTGCACCTTACAATCGACAACACCATTCAGAGGACTCTTAGGATGGTCACCTTATGCCGCAGAAAAAAAGGCGTAAGGACTTTAAAACGTATGAACATCCCCAGATACAGTAAATAAGAATTACAGCTGCCATGGCCTCATTAAAAACATCCCATCTGTCATTGATGATGACAATGAGGAAAGAATATCTGCTGTATGCTGTCGTACTAGCAGAATGACACAGTGCTCCATTTTCTGAGTAATGAAACCTGTGTATTTAACATGTGCCTCTTATTAAAGTGACGATTCAATAAGATGAGCAATTGTAGTTGTTCCAATGGCATCAATTCAGGATAATATGAGTCAGTGTGACCACTTTGGATAATCCTCATAAAACCAGTCAAATTCCTGTGCAATGTATAATTAACCGCAGTATGCTTACAGACTAGCAGTATTTACAAATTGCAAACATGTGTAGCATTTACTGATGACACTCACAAATGTCAACAATAGATTGTGGCAAAGCAGTTGATTTCCTTTTGAAAGTCACTCCATCACATCATACATTGGAACTGTAGTTCATCATAATCGCAGAAGTGTAATGAATTAACACAATACACCAAATCGCTTACTATAGCAGTGACAATTTCAATCCGTTTTTTTTATTTTTGTCTTCCGTTTTCATAAAGTACTCTACACGGTTTAAACAAAAACGAGCTATCTTAAACACAGCTAAACAAACTATAAATATGAGAAAGTGGCAGGCCATCCAATTGTCGTTATGTGGTAATGCATGCAAATTGTCTCGCGTGGGCCATGGCTACACTTATTTTCTTAGATAACTGCCAAGGCATTGTTATCTGGCATTACAAATGTTCCAGCTTCCACATGTGGGTCAGATCGACTTTGCGATGCATGCAATGCCTACATACAAGCAGAAAAGCGAAACATCGCATGCCCTGCCCAACAAGTTAAACCGACTCCAGTATATTTAAACACATTATTTGGTGATGCTGCATTGAGCGCAGTGGTGCACAGGCACGATTAACAATTAAAAAAACACTCACATTCGTCAATAACACTACTCCTTCATAGCACATTTACTACTATAATGCGCCAAGAATGTCTGTGTGTCCCGCACGTGACGTCACTCCACTTCGAACAGCCCCCTCATTAATAATCATTAACAGGTGACGTCTTCCAAATAGACACCCCCCCGCCATTAATAATAATTTGCGGGTGACGTCCCTCCACATGGGGGGGGGGCGAGGCGCCTCCTCCCCTCACGTCACGTGATCTCCATAACGCTATTGAGACATAGAAGTAAAAAGGACGTTATGATGAACAAAGGATTATAACCTTTAAATTAAATAAGTCTGTGTCACCGCAGCCTTACAAATTGCACACGAATTGATGCAATGAACATCACGTCGCGGTCTGCTTTTCGCTTGCAAGTTTCAGATTCACTGCAATACACCCGTCGTCCTTGGACGGGCAAAAGGCTAGTCAAAGAAGAAGCGCCAATGCGGTTTAATGTGCAATGAAGGGTCATTGCCCAAAACGTCGTCCAGTACAATCACATTCTTCACGTACAACATTCCGACAGCAAAGTTTGTCGAGCTACAATGAAACAAATATAGCACTTTGTTTCAGCTTGACGATACTTTTTGTATTCATAAACAGTTTTTTAAGTCGTTGCAGCTCAGTTGGAGAAAGTTGAATCTTGTAATTAAAAAAAGGTTACAATCTTCAAGTGCTCTACTTTAAATAAGATACAATCTGTAAGCACATAACCAAAATTGTGTAACTATTACAATGCAGATACATGCTTTAGATGCTTTCTGGGCTGTCTGACAAAGTGTCGTAAGTACATTCATGTAAAACTTTGCATTACTTTTACATATTCTGTAGCACTACACTATATAAACCTTTCAAATGTAAGTGTAAAAAAACACTGCAGTCGTGTTCTTAGATGACACTTTGACATCATTGTATTTGATGGATAAATTAAAATAATTTATCATATTACTGCAGTGTATTTATGTTTTTGTTCACAGCTTAATCATTTATAGGTTTTTGGAAATCTGCCCTTCGTTTCGAGTACAACGCCAGTGTCCCAGCACCCGTACAAACTCTAGTCACACTACATGACGTGCCAAGCCCCTTAGCTAGTCCATTTGCTTTGCTGGCCTCCCCCCACGGACATACTAAATACCAATTGTTATGGCACAGCTCTGGGTGGAATCTGGCCTACATCCAGCCTACTCTGGTTCAAAGTTTCACTGAAATACGACCCATCCACATGTCTCACAGGATGTTCACATCAGCACTGTCCTTTAGAAAAAAAGAGACGGCAGAGAATTTTCATCACTCGCTAAACCATTAAGTGCTTTTTGACATCCTTTCTGCAGCCAGCATTAAATATTTCATACGGTAGATACTGTCCAATAATGAAAACGCTAAATAAAACAAAAAAAAACTGTACATTACAGTGAAAATTTACAGTAGTCATTCATATTATACATTTCAAACAATGAGACCATGCAATTTAAGTAGCTTCACCTTCGATAAATTTTTTAACAATGTTCAGCACACGCACAATAGTGATCTTTTGTATCGAATTACCAAACTATAATTGAAAGCAAAAAAACACACTTGAACTGGATTCAAACGTTTCACAAACACCCAAGAAGATATTGTCAACGTCCCACAAGTACTTGTAAATAAATCAACACCAAGAAGAAACATTTACACTCCAAGTATATTTAGCATTCTCAAATGACTCGAATGAGGCCTGACACTAAATTCGTCCTTGTACCAGCATCCTATGATAAACATGACCTGTCAGGCAGCAAATCTTTGTTATCAGCTAACACTCTAAACACTTTGTTTAAAATAGCACTCGTGCTATGCATGGTTGATTAAACACAATAAATTATGACTGCATCAGAAAAACATTCCAACAAAGTCGCATGTCTGGATGTGTTGCACAATGTAATAACTTTAGAGTGTACGTGCACCATTATATACACGTGTGCACTTTCATGGAAAAGCTTATAAGCGTCATAAAATTCAGCCTATTAAATGCACATTCACAAGTTCATTGGGCTCCAAACCCAACGGCATGAATAATGCCAAAGCGATGTGATTTAGCCATGAGTTAATTTAGACTAAAATTGTAATCTACTACTTGTCTTTTTGTCGATTAATCGGGCCCCTTTAAACATGAAGGCAGGAAACCCTCTACAAGCCATGCCCAGCGTAATGTTGCTAAATTTATTTGGGTCTTTCAGTAAATTCACGTAGATAAAGATGTCAATGCCGTCTTCAAGCCCCAATAATCGGGTAGCATAATGAATTACTTAAATCATTGATATTCCAGCTTTAAACATTCAATGCAGTTTTGAAGATCTGTTTACTAGTATAGACATGTAATGCTGTTCATGTTGTTAATGTGTGGTTATTACACATCAATGATAATAATGTAGAGAAAGAGTACGATATATTTCATCAAGATGAGGTTCACAATGTGCTGCTAAATGATTTTAGATTATTTCTGGTGATATTGTCAAACTGTGGATTTTTGTAAACGCTGTTGTGATCTTGTACTTTTTACTTAAAACTTTTGTGACTGCAGGAATTTATATTCAGTTTTTTTCGGTAAAGTAACATAGATATAAAAATATAAATTATTAACATGAGCTGCCCCGCCCATGCTGCTGACACACTTGGACTCTGCCCATCTCTAAACCTCTATAAACAGTTTGCCTTTAGAGGCTAACCCCCCTTTTTCCTGATGACGACCACTTGTGTTGCAATCGAAACGTCGTGGTTTTTATTTTATTTTTATATTATTGTATTCAGGTTAGAACCAGGCTACAGTCTACATTATAGACTGCCAGTACCGCCACTCAGTTTAACAACCATTGCTACAGTCTACATCATATACTGCCAATACGCTCACCAGCTTAAAAAAACAGGCTACAGTCTACATTATAGACTGCCAGTACACTCACCAAACATAATAACCAGGCTACAGTCTACGATATAGACTGCCAGTACACTCACTCATTTATAACCAGGCTACAGTTTACATTAGTGGTTTTTATTTGTATTCTTTTTATTCACTTGATTTGTATTTTAAAAAATTCTATCTACGTGACTTGACCGAAAAAAACAAAGACTATTTTGTACTTTACCACGGTACAACAGAGTACAACATTTTGCACTTGTAAAGTAAAAACCATTGTAATATAACTGTAGTATTCCATCACATCCCCACGTTCACCATGGAGATATGAAATGTTTAGCTTTATTCTTGGTGAGTAATAATTGGACAGGAATGCATTTCCCAAGCATTGCCAGTGTCAGATGGCCTGGCAGCAATCATGCAGTTGTGGCAAGTAAATGTCACAGCTCATATTTAGCTTGTCACAAAAAAACACACCCAATTCACAGCCAAAAGCCTTTAAATACAGTGTAGTAATATGTCAGTTCAATAGAGACAAAGCTTTTCAAGAATCCAACATAGCTGGCTCACATTTTCAAACAAAAACGCATTCTGACATTGTACGATGCTTTAATATACCGTATATATTTTAGCATTGTGCAAGTTAGTAACATTTTGGCTACGTACTTGATGAATGAAATGACGTTTAAAAAGTAATTACTGTAGAATGATACGTAAAGAAAAACAACCTCAGGTTTAGAGTGTCACGGTGACACGGGGCATAGCCAACAAAGCCATTCCACATGTCAAAAATTATATCACTATGTCCTGAATAATCTATGTCCTGAATAATCCTTGTAATCTAGCAGTCAACTAAAAAGGCTGAGCACAAAGTTTTGTCGCTGCATTCTACAGCAATGAAATAAAAAGGCAAACATTTGACATTTTAAAAACACATTTGACAAAATATATTTACCGAAAATGGCCTGATTGACTCCTCGTTTTCAATGAAGGCTCGGGTGTGATCGCTGAAAAACTCCAACGGGATCACGCCTTTCAGCCCAACCTTATCCACAAGTGGTTTGAAAGTCTGCAAATAAAAAGACAAGCATTTCATTATTTTCGGTGGCAAAATTCCATGGGGTTGTGAAAAGATGCAGCATTTGACCTTAAATGACTCGGATAACATTCGCTAATGTTAATGATGTTTTTTTATTGATTTGCATGAGATTAGATATGCGCGAACACGCGAGAATTGCATGACCCACATTCTGCACAGGCTCAGCGTATGACAAAAGGGTAAACACCTCCGGTGGATCACATTTCTAAAAGCTGATTCTAATGTAGTCGCTATGTGACAATGTTATTGCGGGGTTGTTGTTTCTTTACTACAATAGTGTACTATGCAGTATATATCCACAATTAATTAACATAATCTGATACAATGAAATATTGCACGAGTGTAGTATCCACAGAACATTTGCAATACAGTCCTAAAACACAACACTATCAACCAACAACTCATATAAAGGGCCTTGATGTCAGATAAACCATTTGATTGTGAATAACGTAGCGTAAGTCCTCCTGTAGCACGTGTTCGCACAACACGTTTTCGCTACAACGTGGTTCTTCCATGAGGGTACACACTTGTTGCGCAACGCGGAACGTGTACCGCTATAACGCGGTGTCTGAGTGGTCGGTGACGTACTTTCTTGACCTGCACGCCTAAGTGGTATGATGGAGTACGCGTAATGATACAGTAACGCTGTCGCGTCCCCTTGCTTTTTGTCCCGCCACCTTACTGTGTGTGCGCACATACAGCGTATATCGCTTAACTTTATCGCTACGTTATTTCCAAGGGAATTGTTTTCGCTGAACGTGACACTTTTCAGGAACACATCTACCGTGTTAAACGAGGACTCACTGTATACGTGTTTTTAACATTCTTCATAATAAACACGAGACTCACACTGGTTTCGTAAAGCAGGTGCTATGAAGCAACAACTGGAAAAACAAATCCTTCACAATATCCTTCCTGCAGCCAGGAAAGCATGTGTGGCGTTCGTGGTTGCAGCATTCACAAGCGTTGCTTTTTGCACTATTACGAAGCCAAAATGGTTAGATAATGCACCCAAAGATGAAGTAGCAGTGAAAATGTTTCCGGCGTTCTGTGGGAACGGCACCAGTGGGCAGACATCCATCTTTCAGAAAACACTTTTCTCTTTTCAGAGTTATAGAAAAACTACTTGGTGCTCGGCACTCCCAACCACCAACAGCCACATGTACCAAATTGTGCAAAAACAAAACGTATAATGTATTGTCTAAAAAGAGATACGGTTATCTTCCTCAAGGAATAATTCATACATTTGCATTATAAATGACCATGAGTCAAGCTCCACTTGTTCACAATTGCCACTACACAGCCACTGATCCTGATATATCCTGAGTCATCACTGCACAGTTGCATTAGGTGAATATGCCCAATGGATTTTTGCTGGTTCTTTAAACAAATCGAAATGCAGCATTGCACTCTAATACAAGTACATAAAAACCAGTGACTTCACTGTGATATTTATGAGTGGTGGCACTGCGGTGAATGCACTCTACTATGAATTCGGCAACCCGAGTTCAATTATTGGACATGACCAACATCAGCGGAAAGTTATATCCAAACTCGTCATGGTTCCTTCCCTTCACCAACCCACACCGACAAGTCTGGTGATGTATGGTCAAAACAACCCCATGAGACTAACATCTCTTTGAAACATACCTCTTTGAAATGATAAAGAGCTGTAAATTATATCGCAATATGGTTATACGTATACTGTAGTACAGTTATTTAATTCACAATTCTCAGTACCACATATGTTAATTATTCTACACAACACTACAAGTATTGTGCAATGTAAAACAACGCGATGTTTAGTGTGTAGAAGTTGGACACAATTACTATTTTATTGCCAAAACAAAATAGTTTTAAATCGTCAAGCAAGGCAACATTATCCGGCAAGCTCACTGACGCTACAGTATAAAACCACCACGGTATAAATACATTGTGTTTATGGTTTCCGGAATATCCATCCTAAAGAAAAAGAAGACAAACTCAAAGGTTAGCTCAATTTTTTATCAAGATTGTACTACACTGTATTTGAACCACATGTATTCTGCCATAATGTGCCATTTCCTTTCCTCCAAAAGTCATAAACCAGAAGCTGGCTACACATACGTGATGAGAATCGTACATCGTTCCCTTCCTCCACCACCAAACTGCCCTTGACTCACTGACATTTAGTGTCACTGTCTCGCAAAAACCTTGGCTTTAAAACTTCCCCAATGGTGTACCTAATCTCTTACAGTTGTTGTACGGTTCCACAAATAATACGCCGCACGTGTATTTTTTTTACGTGTACTTCCCATGACATATATCCCGTGTGCAGAAATGTTAGCAATTTATCTGGTTTGTTTTATGGAAGAAGAATCATTTGATACACAAAACTATAAATGCACCATGAACCATCTCGGCGCGTCCCGACACCGTGATAGTGAATGAGAATTTCCCCCCTTGTCAAGACCGACAAGTCATTTTCCATCCCAATGAGTGTCCTAATCTGGCCAACACATAACGATCCCCAAGTAACAAACAAAAAAGAGCCATTTCGTGATTTAACGCAATATTATCTAACGTCTCTGGTTAATGCACTGTTAATGTCCAATATCGTACAACACCCTTAGCAAATGTGTTATGCACACTGACGAGAGCACGCCAACACCACTTAAAATCCTGTACACACTGTGTATCGCATTCCCGGGATGCATTACTGTTCATAATAAGCACCATCCTCGCTCAAACATCGTTTGGCGGTAACCCTGGACCAGATTTTGATGACATGCCCGGCCAACGAATGATGGGCGATCTACAAAAATATCAACGTAAGATGCGAATCCCTATTTAAACTCAAAAGTTACAGATGCGCATCAAACGTCTGCGCTGTAACTACAATGTGGCCACTGTATTAAGATTCACATCCTCTATCTCCATTTTCCTACCCCTCTTTCTCTCTCTCTTCTCTCTCACCCCCACCACCACCTCCTCTCTCTCTGGCACATGTGCACGCAATTATAGACCTCCATTTCATGGACACAATCTTTCCTCTGACCTCTTCCTCCCAACCCCCCGTGGAGTTTCCCAGAACTGTTTATCAGACACGTGGTTTTTTTTTCGGCAGCCACTGCAACATCAAACTCGAAAGAGACCGGAGAGAGAGAGAAAGAGAGAGATAAAGAGAGAGATGAGCGAGGGAGCAGCCAGAAAGAGCAGTGACACTTTCAGTGGCTTTGGACCAAAAAAACCCCACCAACACGATTTCCGACGAGGAGGAAAACTAAAGGTGGTTTTACTGTACGAATACACTCACTATTTGGGGCATCTGACATGCGTCATTACGCCATGCGGGTAAATCACGGCAAACAGAATGTGTTGTGTGTGGGGATGACTGAATTAGCATTCGTGGGGATTATCTTGACCACAGGTTTTTTTGTTTTAATCTCGGTAAGCCTTTGCTTTCCAGCATTTGAAGTGCTGTGTTCAGCTTCAAGACAGCACCTACACACGTGTACAGTAAATATAGCTCGTTATATAGCTCATTTAAAATACATAAACAAAGGAGAGATATTAGAGGAAACGTAGCGAATACAAATCAACATTTGAATGCCCTTGGCACGCGTACTGTAAAAGGAGAAAACATCCCTGGAGGGGGTTTCTACATCCCCATTCAAATACTGCATACAGCAAACTATTACCGTGCCCCGGATTTTAATAATTAGCTACCCGGGTGGCAACTTAATGTCAAACAGCTACTGCAAATGCCAACAGCGATTTGGTCAAACTGAAGGCTGCATCATTGTGCATTCACTTCGTGAAACAAAAGCAACCACGTCAACACCTGCTAAGGGTGGGGGGATGGCGACAGGACCACCGCATTCAAGCTCCCTGGGAGATAAACAGGGCCCCCTATTACAATTCATTCTCAGCGGGTAAACAAGACACAATTAGGTTAAATGTTTCCCACTGTACGACAGTTATAACGAAGAACAATGCACCAACGTAAACAAACGAAGGGTACGATTTGCAATTAACACCGTACAGTGCTGTATTAACTGTAATTGTGTACTGCACAACGAGTGCCATAACACATTTGCTGTATTTTATGCTTATTTAACTGGAGACCATCTGAAAGTACAGTCTGTCCGGACAAATATCAGTCGAACGCAACAGCACAGTAGTCATTTTTTTAAAAACGTAAACCCCATTGTCTGACTTCCGATGCTATAATCACCGGTGTGTGTGTGTGTGCGTGCGTTTTTTTCGTCTGATAATTTTTCCATGCCACACTTGTGGTCACACGATGAGGATGTCGAATCGCGACTCACTTTCGCAGAAACCATCGTTTAACAAAAAAACAAATCCTGCGTGCCAACATCCTAACACCGATGCTTACCAACTGAACGGTGGGTGTGTTTTTTTTTCTTAATTTCAGGGAATTCCACTCATTTACTTAAATCTAAATCGCTTAAAGGAAGGCAGTGCAAATGCCCTTACTCCCCACTGCCCTTCACACCACACACACCACCACACAAGTCACCCCCCATACCCTCCCTCCCCCTATGAGGCTGGAGGCTTCATTTGCTTGGAAAGTTGAGTCACACACGGGGAATGTTAACATGTTTTGGCAAAATGTCTGTCTTCTGTACGAGACAAGCCATTCATTGTATGCGAATTCACAGACGCTGGCATGAGATCATGTGATACTACTAATGCAGGGTGTGTTTTGCGTAAAAACACAAAAAAAACCCTCGGAATTCGATTGCGCTTTCACTTAAATGTTTGCAACACTCTTGGCCAAGTACAGGGTCGGCTGCACTGCGTTGATATAACGAATAACGATACAGTATTGTGTTTGTATACATCCAGTAATGCGTGACAATACCGTATACAGGCTTGCGAGTACTATACAGAACGCAGCAGTACATAGTACTTGCTCTGAAACACTGGTTGGGTCAGCATCTTCCTAAACATAAAAACAAATAGAA